TGTATGTATGTATGTATGTATGTATGTATGTATGTATGTATGTATGTATGTATGTATGTATGTATGTATGTATGTATGTATGTGTGTGTGTGTGTGTATTTGTGTGTGTATCATTTATATTGCATTTTTGTAAACTTTTTATATGATGAAAATAGTTGAAAAAATACTTATATTTTTTGTTTCTCTTTATTTCAACTATTATATTTTCTTTTCCTTTTAATAATTTATTATTTTTCAAATTAATTCGTGTTGTATTAGATTCGGATATCCAGCATATTTATCGGATTAGATTTGAATCAATATTTATGAGATTCGATCATATCTTTGGATCGAATCAAATTCAAATATACCTCGATTCAAATCTGATCCGATCTATTTGCATCCCTACCAAACCACTTGACTACAATGACCTAGCTAATTAAATCATTGAACCATTTGACATGGTTAGTGGGGTCATGTGTTAGACATTAATGCTCTTTATTTTTTATCCTATTTCTATTATTAATGAAAATAATTCTTATTAATCACACTTTTTCTATATGATGAATATATAATATTATAGAAAGCACCCAAAATTATCTATAAATTTTTACATTTTCTAGAATTTTATGTATTTTATTATTTAATAATAACATAATGTGTTTATCTGTTTGACATAGATAGTTGAACCACTAACCCACCACTTGGATGGAAAAACCATTTTTTCTTTTTCGGTTGATTTTAAATCATGTTTTATATTTTCATCATCCATAAAAGTAATTCTTATTTTTGCATTTATTTTTGCACATAGCATTACCAAATGATGATGATGATGATAATAATCAGTAACCAAAGGACCTTACTGGTTGAACCATTAACCTATTTAACCAAGAAAATGGACTATGATTAAGACATTAATTCCTTTTTTCTTTGTATTTTAGCCATTTCTATTTTTACTAACAATAATTCTCATTTTTCAAACATATTTTTGTTTAATATGAAGAATATATAATATTAATGTATGTTTAAATTTTTTTATAAATTTATAAAAAATTCTATATTTTTATTTTTTATTATTTAATTTATGAGATAATAAAAAATTACTTATTTACCAAGAGGAAATGCAATTTTAATATATTGTTTGAACACTAGTTTTTAATATTGTGGTCAAATCAATTGTTTATATTATAGTATATATATTATTTATATATAATATATATGTTGTTTATGAAAGAATGGTAGGATCCATAAAATGGACGCCAATAAGGTTGCGGAATGGGTGGGCGAATTTCAAAAATTTCCTACCTTCTTCCAACTGGGAATCATATTCCCTAAATTAGAATACTATATTCAAGGATCCTACTTGAACCATAATCGAACCAGATCTGAACCAAAAAGCAAAAGGGAGGAATATACCTAATTCGGAGAAGCAGTATCTCCCAAAGTTGGTGTTCACACCCAAAGAAGAAACCAAGATCCGCTCCTGCTGAAGATGACACAGCTGTGGGTGGAACAGAACCAGCAGGGTGCATCCTACACACTGGATCCTTCGCAAGAATCCTCTGGAAACTTTGAACACTGAATCTTTCTCAGTCTTTTTCGCAAGACTGATGTCAAGAACTGATTTCTTGACTTCCTATTGCTGCAAAGATCAAATCTTGCAAGAGGGAATGGTGGCGGCTGGAGAAGAACTCCTGGGACGAAGATGGCTGAACTGCTTCTCTTCTCTCTGGAGTCTGTATGAGATCTAATCTCTTTTTGCAGGATAATTTCTTGCACCACAAACCCTTGGTTCGAAATCTGATATATTTCTCTTAGGGTTTCTCCTCTTTTCTTCTTGATTAAGAAACCTCCTATTTTGGAGTTATCCCAATCCAAATCTGTATTTGGATATGAGATTATCTTAATCCTATCTGCAT